TCATAGTTGAGGTATACCTATGATGAAAATTACAGGCCTCTGTCATCTTTTTAAGTGGGAGAACTTGCACAATTGGTGGCTGACTAAATACTTTTTTGCCCCACTGTAAATGAGCATTAAAACATACAAGAAACAGTTTTAAAAAATGGCAGCTGAGGGTAAAAACCACGAAATCACATCAACCCCCCTGGGCTTCACTAACTTCCAACCGCCATGCCTCGGCAAACATTCAGGGTTTCAGTGCTTTCTGGAAGGCCAGCAAGGTCAGGGCCAATCTCATCACAGGTGATAAATTGTTCCAAAGGGCAGGGTCATGACAGAAAAGGCATGCTTCCCGGATCCCACAAGATGGCATTCTTTATTTGAGAGGATGCAAAGCCTGCTCTTCTCAACAGATCTAATAGAGTGGGCAGAGACCACTGGAGAGAGGTGGTCCTTCAAGTATCCTGAGCCCAGACCATGAAGGGCTTTTCAGGAGGGTATCAAGGAAAGCAACAAAGAGTGCAATTTAAGACGGTTGCTGTTTTAGGCTTCTTCTCCTCTACAAGTAACGCAACAAGTGACTATTGGGGGGAATGCTATGGCCTTATTTGCTTGTTACTCAAAACCTCCAAAGAGACTAGGAGAAACCATAAATAAGAAACAAAAACATGAAGAAAACTATCTTTCCCTCGGCTTTATAGAGGTAATTATTTAAATTAAATTAAATTAAATTAATTTAATTTATTGTGTCTTATGTAACAGAACATTTTCGAATGGTATTATTGTACCAGTTAAGCTGCAGCACCATTTGGAGACCAATCATTCAGACTTTAAAGAAAAAGGAATTGAATATTTTAAATGTAGACATGATGAGCTGCTTAAAAACCAAAATGGTTTGTTACAGTTTTTCAAACTTGAAATGAAAAAGCCACTGAAGCATCTTATTGCATTCGATTGGCCAGAAAAGCGCACACAATAGCTGAGAGATTAATAAAGTCTTGCACAGTTGCCGTGGCTGAATGCCTGCTGGATGAAAAGATGGTAAAAGAAATCACAGCAGTGCCACTTTCCAATGATATAGTACTTCATTGAATTAAAGGTTTTGCTGCAAACATGAAGACTGAGTTAATACCTCGTCTGCAGAACTGAATTTTTGCCTTGCAAATGGGTGAATCTACAGGTTGGCTGGATTTGTTGGTTTGCTTGTATTTGTCCAGATGAGCACCAACTAATAATATAAGATCTTCTTTTATGTGAGTGCTCGGCAACAAACACAAGAGGTGTGGAAATCTTCAAAGTGTTGAATAACGTTTTGGAGTCTCCTGGTTTATCCTGGAACAACCTTGTTGACATATGCACTGATGGTGCAGAAGCAATGGTGGGCAAAATGCTGGTGCCTTAGCATGAGTCAAGGCAGTGGCACCAAAGATTGTACTGGTAGTCATTGTATTCTTCAACATGTACTTGCAGTAAAAAAAAAAAATTCACTTAAGAATGTCATTGATGAAGCAGTAAAAATTATTAGTTTTATTAAATCTCAACCCTTGAGTACATGTCTTTAATATTAATGTTTGAAGAAATGGGAAGTACACATAAAGCACTTCTGCATCCTGAAGTATGATGGTTGTCTCAAGGAAAAGACTTGTGATTGAGCTGTGAGCTAAACTAACCACTTTTTAATGGAACACCTTTTTTACTTGGAAGAACAATATACAGATGACTACGGTGATTCAGACTTGGGTATTTGGCAGAAATTTTCTCAGAAATCAACAAAGTGAGACTGTTACTTCAAGGAAAACACTGACAGTATTTGTTGCCAATGATGACATTTGAATTTTCAAGCAAAAATTAGAATTTTGGAAAACTTGTATCTGTCACTGTGAGCTTCACAGCTTCCCAATCAGTGGTAATATTAACAAATGTGAATTTTTGATATTGCATAATGAAATGTGTCAACGTTTAGAAGATCTGCATAACTCAGTGAACCAATATTTTCAAAAGGACCAATGCAAGATGTTACAAAATGAGGTACGGGTAAAAAAGCTATTCCCTTTTGGCGTAAAAATTTTGGGGAGATAAGTACCATCACTAAACAAAGAACTGAATGCTCCCCAGAGTTAGGCTTACTGCATTTATTTACAGGACCAAACCTCAAGCTTAAAAATAAGGAACTTATTATCTAACTGTAGCAGCTAAAATAATAATTGCCCAACATTGGAAAACTCTAGAAGCACAACAATTGAGATGTAGATTAGCAAGGCCTCTTCAATTGCTACATTAGAAAAAATTACAAAGTTAAAATATTGAGATATCAGAGGCAGGAACCACAATTTTATCAAATTTGGATGGATTTATGGCTTAAATCCAATAGCATTCTTGTTGAATTTTGGTTTAGTAGAATATCTAGAACAGTGATTCTCAACCTTTTTGAAGCTGCCGCCCCCCTAAGGAGCGGAAAATTT